TCATCACAGCCTCATGCAGGAAAGAGGATGAAGAAAAGTGTAGAGAAGTCAAAGCTTTTTACACACACACAAAAAACAAAAACAAAACCAGATTTAAACTGGACTAAAACTTCTGTTTGATATTTTGACATTTTCAAATTGCAATTTAGGGACATGACAGATTTGCAAGGAATTACAACACGCACAGATATTACCCAAGACACCCCAGGAAAGATAATTCCTGTTTGAATAGTTTACTAATACAACTTTTGCATCTTTTTAAGCATCCCACCTTCTCAGCAAAGCTGATCCTTCCTGCTCTGACCAGCATCACCCTGTTATTCATGTTGATGTTCATGTTCTTCAGCTGTTTGAAGTCATCTTCCTGTCCATAATGGGCATACAGCACTGCACCCTGGAGCCATCAGAAACAGAAATGTCACTGCAAGTGTCACTGTACATTTTTCCTACTCATAATTTAGCCTTCTGATTACCCTTGCTGTTCCACTGGCGCTGTAGGACAGGAAACCCGTTGGACGTTCCTCTGATCCGTTCTTGAAAACTATTCTGTTGTATCCAGATGCTGGGGGGTCCTGAACCTTGACAAAGTACTCATCAGTCCAGGTCTTCATGCCGTACTCCTTAAACTTTTTTATCACCTTGTTCCCCAGATCTTCATCACCAGGGGAACCAGCCCGGTGGTTGCTACTGGTCAGCTGACTGTGAACGAACACAGGGAAAACAAATGGAGGCAAGAAAACAGGGCCCAGTTATTCTCATTTAAAACTGCAATGCACATAAAATTTGTACAGCACTGTACATGCAATGTGTGGGGTTTCTATTCACCTTAGTGCAATCTCTAAGTTGGATGTATTTAGTTTATCACCAAGCAGTTTTCTCACATCATCCCAGTCCATGAAAGGGACAGCACCAGTCTTATGGGTAATATCATCTTCAGAAGGTGCACAGGAGCAATTCAGATCCTTATTCTTATGAACCAGGTAGCCAGTCAAATAGCCTGAACGTGGTAGTCATTTAAAATGAGGAAACAATTACTAATAAGGAAAGGGAACACACCCAAGACCAGACCATAGCACAGAGTCAGCATTTTAAAATACCAGTGAGGGACCAAGAGACCTAAAGTTTGTACACTATCAGCGCTTACACCTCCAGACTAAATTCATGGCTATAAACTGTCAAATTGTTGCTCAGATGAATGCAAGGTCAAAGCTGGGCTATGTTTTTCAGATGATAAAATTATACTTTGTAAGTTTTCACACACACATGGAAAATGTTTAAAAAAAATGTAACTTTCTAGGCATATGCATCTCCTCAGACAAACAGAAATATGCCAACTATGCCTTTCTCCCTCTCTTACCAATGACAAATGTGAAGACGATGGTAGCTGCCATGAAGCAGAGGCTCTTGGTTGTACATTCAAAGTTTTGAGCCACGTGTGGTTGGCGGTTTGACTTGTGACTAAGGTGGCCTTCGTCGCCATTCTCTCCAACCTCCTCATTCATGTCAGACGACTGTATCATCTCCACCTGGCTGGTGTCACCTTCCATATTATCAGGCAAGTTGAATCGTGTGTAGGAGTGTGGTTCATTGTTAAACTAACAAAACAGAAACAGAAAAGGTCAGGGTAAGCAAAACATATTATTTCAGTAACTACCAAAGAATATAGAACCTGGGTGGGAATCATAGACAGCATGCCCACTGATCCAGTTCTGTTTTCTTAATATATGTTACCACGAGTCTTCGATTAAACAGTTTCAAAGGTATTTATACCACTGCTATGCTGACGATACACTGTTTTACTTTTCTGTTAATCCAAAAGCCTCAACAGTCCCTCCTGCCTCAGTGAATGTTTCACTGTCATTACTGATTGAAAGTCTTCAAATTTCCTCCATCTCAGTGCCAAAAACTGAAGTTCTTGTGTTCGGCCTCGACAGTTCCTCTAAGCAGGTCAGTCATTACACCAGAGCAGTTTCAGTGCAGTGCACTAGCAGGCTAGTGATTCGCTACATGCGGTAGGTGGTAAGTTAGATTCAGATTTTCCATTTGGATTTAGTTTGTGTTATCCCCCAAGAGAAAAGTGTCTTGGTTTGTGAATTGGATTTTGGTAGAGTGTCCCTGTGCCAAAGGAAATACTGCACAGTGAAATGTATATTTGAAGTAACCTTTCAGTTAAGAGGTGGAAATGGAAAAATAAATAAATAAAGGGAGGGATTCAAGCTTAATACTAAGCTTGTTATTTTAAGATTTATCTTATAACACTCACTGAATACTTACAATTTGGGACATCGCTGATCTTGCTTGGTCCATGGCTGCTTCAGAGGATTCTGAGAAGATAAACCAAAAAGTTAGACTACTCCAGCCAAGTTTAAGTCTTTAAATGACAGGCATTTTATCCTCCAAAGAGACTTAAAGTCAGGTGGTGCGTGAATGTAACTTTTTATTCAACTTAAATCCCTCACAGTGCGAGCAGTGGGTTGCTGCTTTTTACTTGCAGGAACATCCAAAGAATATATCCCATGTCTTGTCATTGGTCCGATTCTTCTTATCCTAAAGGCAGAGCTGGCAGGGGAGCAAAAGGCAAGTGTCCTGCACAGGTCGACACACAATGACACCACCGACTCTTTGGTCTCGCCCATCGTGGTAGCGAGGTAGGAATGGATAAACTGTTTCTGTGGGCTGGGTCGATTTATACTCATAAAGAGTTGCGATCAGGAGTGCTTGTAATTGATTGATTGTTTGATTGAAATCTGTGGGAGCCAGAATTCTGGATGTTTGTAGGGGATCAACTACTTCCTTCACTCAATGACAAATGCAAATAAATTTATAACTTTTATGCAATGTGTTTTTTTGTGGATTTGTGGTTGTGTCTCTTTTCATTAAAATGAAAATACCATAACAAGTACAGACTGTTCTTCTCTTTGGAAGTGGGTAACCTTACAGATTCATCACAAATCAAATAATAATTCCTCCACTGTTAAGAAGTCAAAGGCAAGTTGTATAAGGAGCTTAAGCTATGGGACAGAATCTATACAAGCTAATCATAAGAATCTCTTCAGCCCATAAGAAACCTCTTTACACGTTGAGGAAAGTTTCTGTTAAAGTTTTAACACTGACTCTCCCATAGTTTTCTTGAAAGTAAAAATGGGTCTGGGGTCTTATGTAGTAATGCTTCCCTGTACAGTTCTTATCATATCTACAGGTACGTGCATTATCAGAAGAAATATTATTTCTGTTAAACGTGCACATAATGTCAAACACATAAACACTACACCCGCGACAAGATTACAGAAGAGTTTCTGATCACTCAGGATTGTTTTTCATTAACTCATATGTGATACTGCAGAGCCACTTAGAGGCTTTCCACTGCTGGCTGAGGACTGTCATAGAGGACGCACATGCAGAATTCTGCTGTGGATTCAAAGTTATCAGACAACGCATGTGACTAAAGTGGACAATGAGTCTAAACTGGAGGGCGTAAAATGCACCTCTTGTCGTTAAAATACAGATGGAAGCTGAAAAAAACCCTGCAACATTCATACTGCAGTGACATCTGGGCCATTTAAGGGGAAATTACGAAAGGAATTGCACAACAACAACAAAAATAATAATAAATAAAACTTTTTCTGCTCAGCAAACAGTAGTTGAAACCTCGACCTCGGCTCCCAGGTCAAAACAATTCGCGCTATGACTGCAGAAACTGTGCAGCACACGGACGGGTGTTGATGTTGTTTCCACGTAGAGTCGTTGTAGTCACTCAGACCGTGTCTTACACAGTGAGAAATATAGATCTGAAAACTAATCTGATTAGTACATAGTCGTGATCAAACAGCCACATAATGCTCTTTCCACGGCACAGACTACACTACACCAGAGTGTGTTTTCCCAAATTAATGAGCAAATGAAACAAATGCACAACACTTTTACGCTTATCCTTATCTAAATTCTCTCTGATGTGTTACATGGCGAACTTACTGTGTCAGACTGTTGCCTCTCTGTGACCGATGTCAGCATCATAAATCGGGGGACACAGTTCTCTGAGCAGGAAGATCTTTAGCGCAGTTGGGAAAGAAATGGGCGTGAAAGGGCGAGATCACGAGTTTGGAGTCACCGCTCAGTGGTAACATACTTCCTCTAATCTTTTCTAACGACAATATTTTTATTTACATTGTTTATTCTAACCCTTGAGTAGGCAATGGGCGGATCGCGGTCCGGATCTGGACCCAGATGACGTTCTGTGTGGAACCAGATCGTTTATATTTTACTCTGCGCAGCTTTCCACGAACTTACGGTAAGGTTATTTTTAATGTGCGCAGCTTTTTCTTTTGTGTTTACGGTACTCGACGTACACAGGAAGCAAACGGGTTAAACGCGTACGTTATAAGCCATCCCACGTGACATTACTCAACCAATCAAATAATTTCTTCAGTTGAACAGGCGCATTGCGCGTGTGCGAAAACAAAGTTTTGTACTGAATGTACACATTATGGGAAACAGTATCACCATAATATTAAAAAAACTACCTACTGTTATTAACATTTTGGAAATTACTGCTCCTGATAATTATACTTTTATATGAAAGGTGATTAAAAACTATTTATAGTGACCCCTGCCACTGATAAATAAATAACTCAATAAATAAACACGTGGGTTCTGTTTCAGTGCCACATGGTTGAGGACCTTCTCCCCTGCTTTGACAGGTCTGCACAGATTAGCTCCAATGCCAGGAAATGTGTTTCGTATTTGATTCAGATCACTTTATTAAATTCATGCATATAATCAGGGCTTTGCGTTGTTTTGTTGTTGTTGTTGTTGTTTTTATTTTTAATGCCACTGATTATTGCAAATCTTTATACACTGGTGCTTCTGTAAAAATCAATCGGAAATTTCTGTATCTATCACAGTATGAGATATTTTAGCTAGTGATAAAAAAAAATAAAGCTCAGGTTTGAACACCGCAGCAGCAATAGTAGAACAAAAAAAAACAGTTTTCCTCATGGTAAACTATAGAAAGTCATTGACTTATTGTCATCATACGGCGCTTTTAACAAATGAACATTGTGAAAACAATATGATGACTTAGTAGATATCCACTGAAAACGTGGTGGTTAATCACAACAGCACTGCCTGTTGTAATAAGAGGGCCAAACCATGAACAAGGGAGGGAAAAGGACTTTTCTAGATTTCATTATCCAGAGACCAGATGTCCCCTGCTAGGGAGTTGGCACAGGTCTGAATGGTCCAGGTCGCCTGGGCAAACTGGTTGCGGAACAGCTCGGCGTCTGCGTCGGGGTCGGCAGTCGTCAAAGAGTCGAGGTGGTTGGTCAGAGCTTTGAGGGTGTGGGGACCGGAGCCCAGCAGGATGTGACGGAAGGGGCTGTCTCTGGGAGAAACGTAGGGTGACAGGAAGTTCCTTTCCACCTATAGCAAGAAGACGGACATCATGAAAGAGCTGGATAAAAACCAACGTTATCAACAAATTTATTGGACAGTCCCGTCCTTTGAAAAGCAGAAAGCAGACACTGAACACTACCTACATCAACTATTACACTTGACTGTGATTAAAATGTGATGCATCCCACTTAATATACGATCCAAAGGTAGCTAAACCATCACTAAAGTTGTAATTTCAGCTCATCAAAAGCAGAGGTGGCAGCTTGTGAAATCAACTAAACTTGATAGACTGAGTTTTTTCCCCCTTACCGTCATGATGCGGTCATTGATCACGCGGCACATCTCGATGTCCTCCAGGTCGCTGTTCTGGATGTCGGCTGCCAGCGCGCTAGAGGCACGGCTGTAGGAGCCAGAGGCCATGATCAACCACTTCACTGTCAGAGCTTTGGGCAACAGCTGGGGCTGCATCTGCAAGCACACAAACATGCAGGGATGACTTTTCTCCCACAAACTCAAGTTAGTAAGCTGGACATTCAAGACCTGAACACAGCTTTGTCTTCTATGATGAGAGGAGTAACCAGGCAAAACAAACTGATTCAAAACTGATCATTTTTAAGTTGAGTGATGAAAAACACGACAACAGTCAAGTTGCTCCTGATTTCTGCAGCCCTGCTCTCAACAAGGTAAATACTATCTTCTTTTACAAGGACACTGGTGAGCACTCACCCTCTGAACAGCCTTGACCTTCCCATTAATCTGAACCACGTGGCTGCGTATGAGCTGGTTGTACTTCTTCAGGTCCATCTGCAGCAGGTGGTCATGGACCAGCCTCAGCGCTATGTGACCTGCAAACTGGCCCGCTCTCACAGCCAGCTGAGGAACCTGGCTGGCTGTGACAGAGTTCAGGTTTTCTCGGGTGTCCAGGTTTGTGCCAAATTGCGGGTAGTCCTGAGGAGGCACACAGGATGTTTTAAGAACTACTCTCAGATCTACAAAGTTGGCATTAGTTAAGAAACTATTTAAGAACTTGTAGTACAGAAGAATTCACTTACTGAACTTCCAGAGTGGAATCTGAAAGCGACTGAGGGAATGCCGGAGAAGGCGAGGAAAGGATACGCAGCACTGTCCATCCTCAGAGGCTCCAGACTTCAAAATCAAACGTAAAAAAGAAGAGTGAGAATGACAGCCTACTTTCAAACAAGAAGGCTGTGATAATCATCACTGGCTATACTTTGTTATCTTTAATTAGACGGACTCACATAGCAGACTCCCAGTTGTTCTTTCCAAACTGAGAAAGAAGAGACTTGTCCTTGTCATAGTTCACCTAAGAAGAAAACAAATACTTTGATTAAACTCTTGTTTTATTTTACAAATAAAACTGACCAACAGAATTATTTCTGCAGAAGAGATCAGCTGTGGAGTTACCTCTTTCAGAGCGTTTTGGACCAGGCTGTGCAGCAACGGGCTGGCTGCTACTTTAAACCCATTCTGACCTAGAATAACAAGACCACTAATATTTAGTTATCCTCAAACATAAGCAGTGTTGGTCAAGTTACTTGAAAAAAGTAATCAGTAACTAATTACTGATTACTTCCCCAAAAAAATAATCCCGTTACTTTACTGATTACTTATTTTCAAAAGTAATTAATTACTTAGTTACTTTTTAAAAACACGATTTACAACCTGAATAGGTGATAAAGCAATAGATCTTTCAGCCCAATTCTACTTTTTCTGCATAATTCATCATACAAAATGTAATCAAATGGAAAAGTCTCTTTTTAAAACTTGTTTTATTAGTTTTAATCTTTTAACTTTATGCATCAAGCAAAAATTTAATTATATGCACCATTCTCTGACTGGAAGAAATTTCTTTAATATTTAAACCTATTTTCTGCACATTCCAGCTTCATGAGTACAAGAAGTCTGCATCCATGGAAGTAAATACCTGTCACAATGCCATCCAGGTTGATGTAGGTGAATGCTTTCATGCTCAGAGAGGACAGATAACCCTGGAACAAAGAAATATCCAATATATGAATGAGACTGAGCACAATCACTAATAATTATCCTCCTCAGAATAAGTCTATTCATTTACGTCTTCTTTAATGGGCATTTGTTTTTGGTCTACATCTTTTGACTTATTTGAGCTATCCTAAAAAGAAATCCTGATGTACGAAGTAGAAAACATCCTGGGCTTTCCATTGATATCTCATGCATTTGGGGGTGGGGGGTGGGGGGGGGGGGGGGGGGGGGGGGTGTCTCTTTTAGCACCAAAGATGAAGGAAATCGCAAAAAAAGTACAATGAGAAGATTTATTTTTGTTGAGTAAAAGAAAAATGCAGCTAATCTGAACCTTTGCCATGCACTTCTTACCTCCAACCACTCGGTGGCGCCAACACTCCCATACTCTCCCGCACTCCAGCTCGCAAACACAATACTCCTCCTCGGTTTGAATCCATCTATCAAAGTGGAAACACAATTAATCAAACTCATGAAGCCAGCATGTTCTTTAGCTGCTCAGTATCTGACGTGAAGTGTACATCCAGGATCATTTTATTTGGAAATTAAACACCAAACATCAGCTGCCGACAGGTGCTCACCGTTCTCCACCATGTCAGAGATGGAACGCGCCAGCTCGACGAGGACGCTGGTGCCCACGCTTGATGCTGCAAAGCCAGGGCCCCACGCATCCCTCTGGGCCCCAATGACCACGTATCGATCTGCAGACGGTCACAGGACATTCATCACTCGCATCGTTTCCATATTTCCTGATCACAGGATCTCTCTCATTATTCATCTTTGCTGTACCTGCATCCACAAAGCCTTTGATGACCCCAAAGAAATTATTTATCCTTTTCTCAGTAAGGACATTGTTGACTTCCACAGTAATAACATCGCTCTCATCTCCGAGTCTATTGATGCTCCCCCAACCATTTGGCTGAGTTCTACCCCCGAGCTGCCTGTGGGATGCAGACAAACATCAACCCTTTATTGATGCCCTGTTTATTACAAGCTTCAACCATCTTTCTGATACCAGTATGATGTTTGTGAGTCTTACCTCAGAATGTTCATTCCCATGCCTGTTGTGATAGTCTGAGCCAAAATATTTGGCAGGCCTGAAGACTGCACAGGTGGAAACTGGGTGTGGTTGAAGGAGGGGAAGCCTGGGGTGTAGGGATCCCCAGAGCCCATGTGGACCTGTGGGAATCAGACAGATGAAAAGATGATCTTAGAGTGGATCATGACATCTTTTCAAAGGTAGCTTTAATCAAACTAAACACATGAACCCCATTATTATTATTGTGGTTATCATTTAGATTATTGCACTGGTAGAGGAAGCGCAACTACTTCCTCTTATGAACAGTGCTAGGTTTACATGCACTTCACAACATGTGTATTGTCGACATGTCAAACATCTGTCCTCTCATTTCATATTTAAACAACAGTCTTCACCTTTCCTTCAGTGTACTCATCTGAGTATTTTCCCAGGTGATTTACACCTGAGGAGTAAAAACTGTCTTCACTCACATGTCCAAAGAGTGGAGTGCTCTCGCCGATCGAGTAATCAGCAGGGTCTGGGTAGATCAGCACAGCAGAGGCGTTCACTTTGGCTGCATTGGCTACCTATAAGCAGAGAAACAAGGGAATGGGAAGCTAAGATCACCAACAGTAAAATTATTCGAATGAATCACATAATATAAAACGAAGTTTCATGGTAAAAACATAATTTCTTCTGCGATGAATAAAGTATGATTCTGATTCAGTTGGGGAGAAAGAGGATGAGATGGAGATGACAAAGGAGAATGCAGTGATGGAGGAGGCAGATGAAGGAAAGGAGGAGAAAGATTATGAGAAAAGTATGAAAATATAAATCTGCAGATCTTAAAAGGTCATATAGTTCGGAAGGTCTCGCCTGTACAGAAACACACACACGAAAATTCTAATGGAATTCTACTGAAGGTTAAGAACAGAGGACATCTACAAATATTGACAAGTACCACAGGGAATAAAGTCTCGTTCAAATGATGTTCCATCTTATTTTGAAACCACCCACCTTCTCAGCAAAGCTGATCCTTCCAGCTCTGACCAGCATCACCCTGTTATTCATGTCGATGTTCATGTCCTTTAACTGCCTCAGGTCATCTTCCTGTCCATAATGGGCATACAGCACTGCACCCTGGAGCCATCAGAAACAGAAATGTCACTGCAAGTGTCACTGTACATTTGTCCTACTCATAATTTAGCCTTCTGATTACCCTTGCTGTTCCACTGGCGCTGTAGGACAGGAAACCCGTTGGACGTTCCTCTGATCCGTTCTTGAAAACTATTCTGTTGTATCCAGATGCTGGGGGGTCCTGAACCTTGACAAAGTGCTCATCAGTCCAGGTCTTCATGCCGTACTCCTTAAACTTTGTTATCACCTTGTTTCCCAGATCTTCATCACCAGGAGAACCAGCCCGGTGGTTGCTACTGGTCAGCTGACTGTGACAGGGAAAACAAAAACGGGTTACTTATTGTTAAAAATACAACACACATAACAAAATGTGTGCAGTGCATGGAGCTTCTATTCACCCAAGGACAGCGTCCATACTGGATGTAGTCAGTTTTTCAGCAAGAAGCTTTTTCACATCATTCCAGTCCATGAGGGGAGCAGCACCGGTCTCATGGGCGACAGAAACATCTTCATAACGGAGAGCAGAGGTTGCACAGGTGGGAGCCAAATCCTTATTCCGATGGACCAGGTAGCCAATCAAATAGCCTGAAAGTGGCAGTGATTCCAGATAAGGGATGGAAACAGATCAACTGAATTAAGTGACTCAACTGACTACAAAACCACAGCTTCCTCTTTTAACTTGCTTTCTTACCGAAGATGAAGACGAGGATGATAGCAGCTGCTATGAAGCAGAGGACTTTGGGTGTACATCTACATTTTTGAGGGACGTATTGTTTGCGGCTTGACTTGTGATTGAGGTGATCTCCAACCTCAAACGGCTCATTTATGCCAGATGACTCTATAATCTCCACATGCCTGGTGTCATCTTCCATATTCTGGGTAGGTCGAATCATGTGTAGAAGTGTGGTTTACTGTTAAACTGACAAAAACAAAAAATCATGGTAATCAGAATATATCACTTCTGTATTTTCCAAACGACATCATAAGTCATAAGGCCAGCTTATGATTTCCCACGCTGTCAAAAAAGTAATTTTCCTTCTTCATAAACATGCCTCTAACAAATAACTCATCATTTAAATGCATTTTTGCTGTGTTAAAATCAGATGACAGGCTCTCAAAAACTATGAACACAGGAAAGCTGTCTCCTTTCACTTTCACAATCATCTACTCTTTCTAGCCCTACTTTCACCTTCCCAGTCTTTTTCTTGAGGTAACTTGTCTCTTAACCTGCATATATTTCCTGTGTGCTCAAAACACATCACAGATAATGATGTATGAGAAAACCATCCAAACAAATATTTGCTTGAATAGTGAAAATAAAGCAGAAAGATTATTCAATTCAATTTGATATAAAACAGCATCATATCAACAATTTGTCAAACAGTCTCGTCAAGAGTTAATAAACTGAACTTACTATTTGAGATTCCCGAGAGCCTAAAAAAGGTGGATGGTCACCGTCTTTGGTGGCAAAAAGAAAGTGGGGATCTGCTTCCTGATTTGTTGTATATTAAAAGAGGAGGTGGTGGGCAGGGAAGGACCTTTTTACTCTTTCTGTTCTCCAGAATTGCAAAAAGCTCCATTTCAGTTTTTACCGAAATGAAACTTGTCTTTCAGGTTTTTAATCTCCTTAGTCAAGTTTAACTGTAGATTAATAGTTATCAGACACTGCGTGTGACTAGAATTGGCCAGGAATCTAAACAAGACGGGCTAAAATACACATTCAGGGGAAATTACCCAGCAAACAACAGAACTACCAGTAAAGTGTTTTTGTTCATTTGTAGACTTTGTCTCAGTGAACTTCACTGAAACCCTGACATTGTCTCCCTGCTCACAATGATTTGCGGTATGACTGCAAAAGGTGAACCATAGAGGGAAGAATGCTGGTGTCGTTTCCATGTAGAATAAGGATCTAGCGAGAGCGTAACAAAGTAAGAAATATAAATCAGATAACTGCTGTGGGGGGATTAAATTTCCATATAATGGCATTCAGAATTTCAGGTAAAAAAAAAAGGTCAGATTTCAAACTGCTATTATTTTTGAAATAATTTGATATTAATTGAGTAACACTGTGAAGGTGTATACTTTTCACTTAAAGTAAAATTAAAAACCAGATTGACCTAATATTGAATGAGTAAGACGGTGAGAGTGTGTGCTGTTGATCTAAAGTGAAATGAGTCCGTGGAAACACGAGGTTTCCTTATAATGGCATTCTGAATGTGAAGAAAAAACTGCACTTATGACATTTCAGCAGACTTTTAATTTGAAATTCAACAACAAAGTGATGTGATACTGACTGGGTAACACTGTAATGGTGTAAACTTGACCTAAAGTGAAATTAGTCTGTATGCTTGTAATGGCTGTACATGCATTTTAAAAGACGGACCATTTTCTTCTACTTATCCAATTCAGGGTCGCAGGGGGCTGGAGCCTATCGCCGCTGTCATGGGGTGAGAGGCAGGTTACACCCTGGAAAGGTCAAGGATTAGGGCCACTCACTTTTTTTCTCAGTGAATTCTGAAAAACCTCAGAAATGCCAAGAAATGTCAGAATTGTGAGATTAGTGTGAGAATTCTGACTTTTTGTTTTCAGAATAGTGAAAAGAAAAAACAAAGTTTTCTTCAGCTCTAACTGTCTTCAATGGTACTGGGTACATTCTCAAATGCTTATTTTTTCTCAGGACATTTGAGGCCACCAAACACTCGTTGATAATCTCCTAATCAGAGAATGGGCTGCAGTTTTTGGTCATTTTATCCAGCTCTATCCTGGGACATAGACTTGAGTAAATTAATGCATAAAGTCTGTTTTTTGTTCAAACTCTGCTTTCTGCATCTCTGTTGTTTTTCATGCAAGTTGTGCATTGGCTGGCACACAAGTAGGTAGGTCAATCACCAAAAGCAGTGGCCTTAAAAAACAGAGCTACAAAGTTTTTCTGGAATTTCCCTTAAAAAAGTAAATAAACAAAAATAAAATGGAAAAAAAGAATTTTACAAAAAAAACCAAACAGTGAGTTGGTACACTTCTTTAATAAAAAGGTAAGGAACAACCAAAGTGTCGCACATGGCCTGGGGTCAGCACAACGCACAGGCAGGCTTTTTCCAACTGATTGGCTGCTGCTTACAGACAAAAAGGTTTAACAGCAGGTGGTGGGGCTGCTGTGTAGCTAAGCTGCTGCTCTCAGTGACATCATACAGAGCCAAAAGTAGAGCCTCTGCTGACAATCAGAGGTGGGTAGAGCAGCCAAAAATTGTACTCCAGTAAAAGTAGCACTACCTTAACATAGTTTTATTCAAGTAAAAAGCAGCCATCCAAGAAATTACTCATGTAAGAGTAAAACGGTATTTATTTAAAAAAAGGCTACTTGAATATTGAGTAACTAATCATAACATCTGATTTAATATTAAAAAAAAAATTAGATAATCAGACAAGAACAACGTTTAAAATACCAAAATTTGCACTAAAGACAGAAAAAGAAATATATATATAAATAACATGATTACAAAACAATAAATCTAAGAAGAAACACTTTTCCAAATCATTATTAAACGAATATTTACAGAAGGTAATATAAATATATTGTCAGGATGAGGTCGTGGACGAAAGGAGGAGGACCCAAACGCTAGACTCACAGGTAGGTGAAGATTGGTGTTTTATTGTCAACGGAGTGAACAAACAGAACAGAAGTAGGAAACGGCTGGCCGGCTGGACGACTGACTGAATGGATGAATGAAAGACTGACTGACAACTGACCGGCTGACCTGACGGAACTGAACAGAGGACAACCTAACAGCGGCGAGAACAACATCACAATAACATCAATGACACGACATTGGACTGGTTGAACTGAGGGACATAAATACACAGGCTGAGTGATGAGAGATTAGAACCTGGTGAGTACACAGCTGAACATAATGACCTAATGATAAACGGGAAGAGGACGGAACATAATGCACATGGACCAAGGCTAACACAATAAAACAGGAGGTGAAGCAGACAGAATATAAACAGTGAACATGAACTAAGAATACTGGGTCAAAGACCCAGAAACCCTGACATATATGGTGTTGCTTTGCCTCTCCAAATGGCACAACAGGCTCAGCAGATAGAATAACATTAAAACAACAAACCTTATGTACAAACAAGAAGTCTCATTTCAACATAAACTGTAGGTTTGTGTCTGTGCCTCATGCATTTTTGGTTAAAACATGTTTATTATTCCTTTACTGAAGTTATTCACACTGAGTAGAATGGCCAGAATTATTTCTCAAGAGTAGTGATACTTCATAATAATATTACTCAAGTAAAACTACTCAAAAAGTTACTTTTTGGAAAAGAGTAAATGTAATTGGTTACTACCCACCTCTGATAAGACAAGAGAAACCCTCATTGGGGGAGTTAGAGACTGAAGAGGACGCCAGATGACCACGAGAACCATGATCACCAGCACCATTAAGCAAGGCACCGAATAATGAAAAAGGTCACTGGTAGTTTTGTTTTAAGAACTAAAGCAATAAGCTAATGTACAATACAGTGCCAAATTTTATTAGTAGCCTAACAAACAAGACAAAGTGTCCATGTTATTGAGAATGAATAATGAAACTAAGACTCCAATAGCTGTGATTGTTTATTGCAGCAATGAAACAAAACAACTGAAATAAAGCAAAGCAAATGTGCGCACAGTTTGAGAGAAAGGAAAAAGAACAAAGAAAAGAAAACCACGCACAATAATAATCGAGCATTTTCAAACATTCTTTAACAAGGGTTACATTTTCCCCCTTTGATCCAAAACTCATCTGCTAATTCTTACAAGCCAGTGCTGAAAATGGAGTTGCAATTTCCAGAACCTGCCTCATTATAAACCAACAGGATTAAGGTAAAATCACTCAAATGACGAATGGTTAATGCATCATGTTAACAAGTTTGATGAACTACAATCAGTCAGATGGGTTTTGGACAGAATCCTGCTTTCAGTCATTTGAAATGGACTCGCATCCATTTGTTTTCTGTCTAGCAACTCTGTTTTAACACCAGTTTGACTCTTAGAGAAACAGGAAAAAAAAAATAAAATAAACTGAACCCTGATACATGAAAACGAAACAATCCAAGTATTCGTCAGCTCAGACACAAAAGAAGAGGCACAAGGAAATCTCAGTGAATTCATCAAAGGAGAAGGTACAATGAACTTTAATTCATTAGACTAAATCCATAACACAGAGTGGGGGCTGATTATGGAGACACGCTGTTGTAACCACATTACACATTTGTGCTTTCCTTAAAGCAAAGACACCTTCCATATGCAAAGAAAAGACCAGAGCAGACCAGCGTTCGCTTCAAAACAGACCGTCTCACTAAAAACAAGCACATCAGCTGCTTGGCCTCACTAATGACACAGACACTGATCTGTGATCAGGTGCTCTGGGCGCTAACCTGCCTGTCTAGAGAGGAACGCTGAAGAAGTCAGCTTGGAACGCCAGATGGGATTGCAAAGATGCAAACGTGTGCGATGTGTAGCTTTGTACTATATATACACACATTATGGGAAACACTGTCCCCGATAATAAAAAACATCCACCCCTACAGTGAAATATGGAGGGCACTGCCTCCGATACGGCACACACTGGTAGGCAAAAACTACCTTCTGTTTTTCACATTATGGAAATCACTGCTCCCGATAATGCCATCAAGATGAGAAGTGTACATGCACCAAAGGACAGGTACGGGTAAATATTGTCAGGTGTGATGTGTGAGCTGGCATTGCTCAGAGACCAGTTCAGTGTCAGTTGACAGAGGGGAAAGAAAAACTGTTGTGTACCAGCTGTCGGTGCACATGTACACTTCTTTTAGCAGATGCTGCTTTTGTCATTTCGACAGTATAACTGTCATAATTATGGAAGACACTGCCCCCGATAATTATACTTTTTTTATATAAAACGTGAATAAAAACTATTTATAGTGAACCCTGCCACTGATAAATAAATAACACAATAAATAAACATACGGTTTCTGTTTCAGTGCCACATGGTTGAGGACCTTTTCCCCTGCTTTGACAGGGCTGCACAGATTAGCTCCAAAGCCAAAAAATGTGTTTCGTATTTGATTCAGACCACTTTGTTTTTTTTTTTGTTTTAATTCAATTCTTGCATATAATTAGGACTTTTTTCCCCCATTTAAAGTAGACGATTATTCCAAATCTGTGCGCACTGTTGCTGCTGCATGCTGTAAATCAATCTGCACTTCTTTCAGCAGCTGCATCTATTTTCTGACTTGAGTTGTGTAGCAGAATCAGCACAGTATGGGATATTTTAGCTACCAATAGAAACCAGCTCAGGTTTGAACACCAAGCCGCAGCAGCAGTAGCAGAAATACCAGCAGTTTGCCTCGTGGTAAACAAATACAAAGTCATTAGCTTATTGTTATCATACTGCGGTCTAAAGATCTGAGCTGGCAAACACAGTCTTTACTGTGATTCTGACCTGATACTGTTCTGGAATTAAAGAAAAAAAAAATCCAACTCATTCAGAGGTAACACCAATTTAAAGTAGTACTTCCACATAACATTTGTTGACATTACTAGCACCATGTGATTTAAGACTGTGATAACTAAATACCACATGTTCAAATTCAAGATTCTTAGAGGGTTAAGTCCTTTTAAGGCAGAAGGCTTACAAACCACTTTGCAACATGTTTGGCTTTAAGAGAATTTTAGATAAAAGGAAAATGAACATCGTGGAAATGATATGATGACTTTGTAGATATCTGCTGAAAACGTGGTGATTAATCACAACAGCACTGCCTGTTGTAATAAGAGGGCCAAACCATGAACGAGGGAGGGAAAAGGACTTTTCTAGATTTCATTATCCAGAGACCAGATGTCCCCTGCTAGGGAGTTGGCACAGGTCTGAATGGTCCAGGTCGCCTGGGCAAACTGGTTGCGGAACAGCTTGGCGTCTGCGTCGGGGTTGGCAGTCGTCAAAGAGTCGAGGTGGTTGGTCAGAGCTTTGAGGGTGTGGGGACCAGAGCCCAGCAGGATGTGACGGAAGGGGCTGTCTCTGGGAGAAACGTAGGGTGACAGGAAGTTCCTTTCCACCTATAGCAAGAAGACAGACATCATGAAAGAGCTGGATAAAAACCAACGTTATCAAAAAATTTATTGGACAGTCCCGTCCTTTGAAAAGCAGAAAGCAGACACTGAACACTACCTACATCAACTATTACACTTGACTGTGATTAAAATGTGATGTATCCCATTTAATATACGATCCAAAGGTAGCTAAACCAACACTAAAGTTGTAATTTCAGCTCATCAAAAGCAGAGGTGGCAGCTTGTGAAATCAACTAAACTTGATAGACTGAGTTTTTTCCCCCTTACCGTCATGATGCGGTCATTGATCACGCGGCACATCTCGATGTCCTCCAGGTCGCTGTTCTGGATGTCGGCTGCCAGCGCGCTAGAGGCACGGCTGTAGGAGCCAGAGGCCATGATCAACCACTTCACTGTCAGAGCTTTGGGCAACAGCTGGGGCTGCATCTGCAAGCACACAAACATGCAGGGATGACTTTTCTCCCACAAACTCAAGTTAGTAAGCTGGACATTCAAGACCTGACCATAGCTTTGTCTTCTATGATGAGAGGAGTAACCAGGCAAAACAAACTGATTCAAAACTGATCATTTAAGTTGAGTGATGAAAAACACGACAACAGTCAAGTTGCTCCTGATTTCTGCAGCCCTGCTCTCAACAAGGTAAATACTATCTTCTTTTACAAGGACACTGGTGAACACTCACCCTCTGAACAGCCTTGACCTTCCCATTAATCTGAACCACGTGGCTGCGTATGAGCTGGTTGTACTTCTTCAGGTCCATCTGCAGCAGGTGGTCATGGACCAGCCTCAGTGCTATGTGACCTGCAAACTGGCCCGCTCTCACAGCCAGCTGAGGAACCTGGCTGGCTGTGACAGAGTTCAGGTTTTCTCGGGTGTCCAGGTTTGTGCTAAAGTGCGGGTAGTCCTGAGGAGGCACACAGGATGTTTTAAGAACTACTCTCAGATCTACAAAGTTGGCATTAGTTAAAAGAGTTCAGAAACTATTTAAGAACTTGTAGTACAGAAGAATTCACTTACTGAACTTCCAGAGTGGAATCTGAAAGCGACTGAGGGAATGCCGGAGAAGGCGAGGAAAGGATACGCAGCACTGTCCATCCTCAGAGGCTCCAGACTTCAAAATCAAACACAAAAAAGAAGAGTGAGAATGACAGCCTACTTTCAAACAAGAAGGCTGTGATAATCATCACTGGCTATACTTTGTTATCTTTAATTAGACGGACTCACATAGCAGACTCCCAGTTGTTCTTTCCAAACTGAGAAAGAAGAGACTTGTCCTTGTCATAGTTCACCTAAGAAGAAAACAAATACTTTGATTAAACTCTTGTTTTATTTTACAAATAAAACTGACCAACAGAATTATTTCTGCAGAAGAGATCAGCTGTGGAGTTACCTCTTTCAGAGCGTTTTGGACCAGGCTGTGCAGCAACGGGCTGGCTGCTACTTTAAACCCATTCTGACCTAGAATAACAAGACCACTAATATTTAGTTATCCTCAAACATAAGTGATGCTTTTTGCATGTGTATGTAAAAGTTTGACATTAAACAGCTTCATGGGTAAATGGTAAATGGCCTGTATTTGTATAGCACTTTACTAGTCCCCAAGGACCCCAAAGGGCTTCACATATCCAGTCATCCACCCATTCACACACTGGTGATGGCAAGCTACATTGTAGCCACAGCCACCCTGGGGCGCACTGACAGAGGCGAGGCTGCCAGACACTGGCGCCACCGGGCCCTCTGACCACCACCAGTAGGCAACGGGTGAAGTGTCTTGCCCAAGGACACAACGACCGAGACTGTCCAAGCCAGGGCTCAAACCGGCAACCTTCCAATTACAAGGCAAACTCCCAACTCTTGAGCCACAATCGCCCCAGGGGTACAAGAAGTCCGCATCCATGGAAGTAAATACCTGTCACAATGCCGTCCAGGTTGATGTAGGTGAATGCTTTCATGCTCAGAGAGGACAGATAACCCTGGAACAAAGAAATATCCAATATATGAATGAGACTGAGCACAATCACTAATAATTATCCTCCTCAGAATAAGTCTATTCATTTACGTCTTCTTTAATGGGCATTTGTTTTTGGTCTACATCTTTTGACTTATCTGAGCTATCCTAAAAAGAAATCCTGATGTACGAAGTAGAAAACATCCTGGGCTTTCCATTGATATCTCATGCATTTTGGGGGGGGGTCTCTTTTAGCACCAAAGATGAAGGAAATCGCAAAAAAAGTACAATGAGAAGATTTATTTTTGTTGAGTAAAAGAAAAATGCAGCTAATCTGAAACTTTGCCATGCACTTCTTACCTCCAACCACTCGGTGGCGCCAACACTCCCATACTCTCCCGCACTCCAGCTCGCAAACACAATACTCCTCCTCGGTTTGAATCCATCTATCAAAGTGGAAACACAATTAATCAAACTCATGAAGCCAGCATGTTCTTTAGCTGCTCAGTATCTGACGTGAAGTGTACATCCAGGATCATTTTATTTGGAAATTAAAAACCAAACATCAGCTGCCGACAGGTGCTCACCGTTCTCCACCATGTCAGAGATGGAACGCGCCAGCTCGACGAGGACGCTGGTGCCCACGGTTGATGCTCCAAAGCCCGGGCCCCACGCATCCCTCTGGGCCCCAATGACCACGTATCGATCTGCAGACGGTCACAGGACATTCATCACTCGCATCGTTTCCATATTTCCTGATCACAGGATCTCTCTCATTACTCATCTTTGCTGTACCTGCATCCACAAAGCCTTTGATGACCCCAAAGACATTATTTATCCTTTTCTCAGTAAGGACATTGTTGACTTCCACAGTAATAACATCGCTCTCATCTCCGAGTCTATTGATGCTCCCCCAACCATTTGGCTGAGTTCTACCCCCGAGCTGCCTGTGGGATGCAGACAAACATCAACTCTTTATTGATGCCCTGTTTATTACAAGCTTCAACCATCTTTCTGATACCAGTATGATGTTTGTGAGTCTTACCTCAGAATGTTCATTCCCATGCCTGTTGTGATAGTCTGAGCCAAAATATTTGGCAGGCCTGAAGACTGCACAGGTGGAAACTGGGTGTGGTTGAAGGAGGGGAAGCCTGGGGTGTAGGGATCCCCAGAGCCCATGTGGACCTGTGGGAATCAGACAGATGAAAAGATGATCTTTGAGTGGATCATGACATCTTTTCAAAGGTAGCTTTAATCAAACTAAACACATGAACCCCATTATTATTATTGTGGTTATCATTTAGATTATTGCACTGGTAGAGGAAGCACAACTACTTCCTCTTATGAACAGTGCTAGGTTTAAATGCACTTCACAACATGTGTATTGTCAACATGTCGAAAATCTGAGTGTTTTTTTCCAGGTGATTTACACCTGAGGAGTAAAAACTGTCTTCACTCACATGTCCAAAGAGTGGAGTGCTCTCGCCGATCGAGTAATCAGCAGGGTCTGGGTAGATCAGCACAGCAGAGGCGTTCACTTTGGCTGCATTGGCTACCTATAAGCAGAGAAACAAGGGAATGGGAAGCTAAGATCACCAACAGTAAAATTATTCGAATGAATCACATAATATAAAATGAAGTTTCATGGTAAAAAGGGGAAACGTGAGGCTTTGTTTACATAATTTCTTCTGCGATGAATAAAGTATGATTCTGATTCAGTTGGGGAGAAAGAGGATGAGATGGAGATGACAAAGGAGAATGCAGTGATGGAGGAGGCAGATGAAGGAAAGGAGGAGAAAGATTATGAGAAAAGTATGAAAATATAAATCTGCAGATCTTAAAAGGTCATATAGTTCGGAAGGTCTCGCCTGTACAGAAACACACACATGAAAATTCTAATGGAATTCTACTGAAGGTTAAGAACAGAGGACATCTACAAATATTGACAAGTACCACAGGGAATAAAGTCTCGTTCAAATGATGTTCCACCTTATTTTGAAACCACCCACCTTCTCAGCAAAGCTGATTTTTCCAGCTCTGACCAGCATCACCCTGTTATTCATGTCGATGTTCATGTCCTTTAACTGCCTCAAGTCATCTTCCTGTCCATAATGGGCATACAGCACTGCACCCTGGAGCCATCAGAAACAGAAATGTCACTGCAAGTGTCACTGTACATTTGTCCTACTCATAATTTAGCCTTCTGATTACCCTTGCTGTTCCATTGGCGCTGTAGGACAGGAAACCCGTTGGACGTTCCTCTGATCCGTTCTTGAAAACTATTCTGTTGTATCCAGATGCTGGGGGGTCCTGAACCTTGACAAAGTGCTCATCAGTCCAGGTCTTCATGCCGTACTCCTTAAACTTTGTTATCACCTTGTTCCCCAGATCTTCATCACCAGGAGAACCAGCCCGGTGGTTGCTACTGGTCAGCTGACTGTGACAGGGAAAACAAAAACGGGTTACTTACTGTTAAAAATACAACACACATAACAAAATGTGTGCAGTGCATGGAGCCTCTATTCACCCAAGGACAGCGTCCATACTGGATGTAGTCAGTTTTTCAGCAAGAAGCTTTTTTACATCATCCCAGTCCATGAGGGGAGCAGCACCGGTCTCATGGGCGACAGAAACGTCTTCATAGCGGAGAGCAGAGGTTGCACAGGTGGGAGCCAAATCCTTATTCCGATGGACCAGGTAGCCAATCAAATAGCCTGAAAGTGGCAGTGATTCCAGATAAGGGATGGGAACAGATCAACTGAATTAAGTGGTGCAAGCCAAACCCTGACTGAAGTGTCTCACTCAGATGACAACTCAAAGCTAAGCCATGTTTTTCCAGATAAAATGACACATGGTAAGTCCCCTCACCACACCCACACACGGGAAAATTATGTTAAAATAGCTGTCGGACAGTGAACTTCCACTTTTTCACAAGTAACACACAATCCAACGGGACAGATCCCCAAAGAACCACTCAAGTTATTGTGCACTAAATTAAAGAGAGTTTCTTCCTTCCTCCCTCTCTTACCGATGATGAAGATGAGGAAGATTGTAGCTGCCATAAAGCAGAGGTTCTTGGGTGTACGTCCAAACTTTTGAGCCACATAGGGTGTGCAATTTGAGTTGTGATTCAGGTGGCCGCCAACGCCATTTCCCCCAGTCTCCTCATCTATTTCAGATGACAGCTTCATCTCCACCTGACTGTTGTCACCCTCCATATTCTGGGTCAAGTTGAATCGTGTGTAGGAGTGGGGCTCCCCATTAAACTATCACAAATAGAAAAAGGGTAAGCAGATTAAATTATTTCAGTAACTCCCAAAGAACAGCAGTGGTTTGATTTCAGGATCTTTGCTTGGACTTACAAGAGGTAAAAGGTTTTTGCTTTTTTATGACCGAACAGAGATTTGACTGAAGAATAATTCTAGATCTCAATTTATAATAAGTGCTTTACAAACCCAAAGATCAGCTAACTGGTGGACTTTCCAGTTTCAGTGTGGCTAGCCAAACAAGAGGAACCACTCACTAATTAAAACAAAACTTAATTATGCAATTTAACAGTTTAACATTTCAATGCATTTCTGAATATGAAACAATTGCATTTATCAAGTTCTTCCTGTGTTTGTTCCCAAAATAGAATAAAAATTAAATTCTGGTCATGCAAGTTCTCATTTTTGCAATAACAGTCATTTCAGGTGTGGAAATGATGATGTCCCGTTTAGGATGAAAGCTTAAAGCAAAGCCTGTTATTGTTGGGTTTACACTTATACTTACAATCTTGGATATTGTTGACCTTGCTTGGTCCATTGTTGCTTCTCAGAATTCTAAAAAGATAAGGAAGAAGAAAATAAGTTAAACATTGCAGAGTTGGTGAATGCAGCCACAACTGAATCTATAAAGGGTAATGAACCAACCCTCTTCTTCACGTAGTGTGCGGCTTGAATTCTTTGTGCTTCAATTTCAGTTCCCTTACAGTGCGAGCAGTGTGTTACAGTTTTACTTGTGATGTCCAAACAATACATCCCCACCTCTTGTCTAAACATCCACAGGGCTTCCTATCTTACTAACTAGAAAAACAGTGCCGTTTCCAGGCACAAAAGGCCAGTGTCCGTCAAAAAACACCATCTGAGACCCCTGCAAACTCCAACTGAATGCAAGACCACTGATTTCCCACAAAATCGTATGCCAAACAAAGCAAGGTGTCAATTTAACAAAGCCAACAAGGTTCAAAATACAAGTTCTCTACATACAATCTTAAATACTGGAATTCTCAGCATGATAAAGAAGGACCTAAAAGCATAGCTTTTTGTCTTGCTATGCTTTACAAGGTAAAAAAAAAAAAAAAAAAAAAAAAAAACTGACCAAAATGTAACTGAACAGCTTTAAAATCCAAGAAGTGGAGTTCCTCTTCATAGGAACCACATGCAGACAATGTGAAACAATGCTGCAACATTCATATTGCAATCACAATTTCAGGGGAAGTTTCCCAACCATCAGCACACAAAGGATATTTGTTGATAAGCTATGGCCACATTACAGAAACATTTTGAATACACACATTTTGATTACTTAACATTAACATTTTTTCCTGTATCAGAACAGGCCTTTGTGGGATTTGCTTATTTAAAAAATATATTTAAACAAATAAATAAATAAATAAAAATTGATGGCTCAACGTCTCTTCCATTAGCTGTGCCCTCAAGAACAAAAAGACCAAGCCATCTCAAATCTTGTCTCATCAAGAGTGGATCATTTTACTGTGTGAAAAGTTTAGAATCACAGGGTTAAATCACTATCACGGTCACTGAACTTTGGCCTGATTAAAAACACTGAAAACATTGTTTTGTTGACGCCGACTTGAAATCCACATGGTCCGAGAGTTGGCATACAAATAAATTGTGCAGTCGCGGGTTGATGCATTCTGTAATGGTATGGAAGTGTTTAATAATATAATGTGTGCTGTTCACACAAATCAGGAGAAATCCTATAATTATCCTTAGGACCGATTTGCAGCTACAGATGGGAGCTCGAGATGTCTAACTGGACAGTGCGTGTGGAAGGTCTGTGTGGGCAAATGCCAAGGGGACAAACAGGCGGGCGGGCAGGCTCGGTCTAATTTGCAGCAGAAGAACACGACCTTAATAGACTTCGATGGCAAGCTTCCAAGACAGAATAGATAAAAAGCTTAATATTTCCACAAAGCAAATGAAAGCACAGACAAGTTGGAACCTGCCCTCAGTCAAGTTGTTCAGGAAACACTTTTTTTGTCTATTCTCAGCACTATGAGGTAACTTTAGAGCATGGCTTGGCAGGACTACCTAGACAACCTTCAGGGTAATAAACCAGAACCACACTGAAAAGCAGTAAAATCAGCTCTAAAAAGGACAACAAATGAGCAGCCTTATATTTTTCTTGCTCACAACTTTAAGTGTGACTGATGTGAGCTTTAGAAAGTAGAACTAGGCAAGGATTAGTCACCGTGTAAAGCTAATTGATCTCTAAGGTGGGTAGAGCCGTGTCTACAGCCGTACATACCAAGCATACCGGTTCTGAGCTAAGCCGATCCTTTAATCAGATTAGCTACTCTTTGAGACTTGGAAACATATGGATATTAATATTAAATAGAAATCAAGAATTCATATGTTCAATTTCAACAGCACTTTACTAAAAACAAGCGTTTTCACATCACAGGAGAAGCCCACTTCTGTACATCAGTTGCTGAACCATAACTATAGCCAAAAGGCACAAGCTGCATCACCGTTGAAGAGGTTTTTGAACATGTGTGTGTGCCCAAGAGATAGTGTGTGTGTGTCCCACCCTTCTGAGAAGGATACTGGCAGGCATGGTCCTCCACCCCCCCCACACACACACACCAAGCTGTAACAGGAGATATTTGCCCCCTGTGAGCCCATGATCAAGGTTATTAAAACAAGATCTGGAACAGCGAGCCACTCTCACCAGTTATTTTGTGTTTTTCCACAAAATACAACACAGCATTTTGTCTCTTTTTACAAGTTTATCTTCCCAAAAAACATTCAAGCTGTCAGACACAGCTCCTTATCGAGTATGCCTCAAGTTCAACCTTCAAGGACTGCACAGTCCTGCAAAATATTGAAATGTCACTGTCAGGGTCAGAGAGGTGGAGTACAGTCTGGCTCTACAAATGCAACTTCCTCGTACAGAGTTCAGAACTGAACAAAACCCTTTGTCTGAAAAAAAAAGGGCTAACTGTTGCTTCATCATGAGGCACAATCTGGCAACAAGAACAGAGCTGTTGTAAAGATGAGGGTGATTGAGAAGGACAAAAAGCTTGGAACACACCAATGTTTTACACAATAACTGAACCAGTCACTCTCATTCACCAGATTAACCGACCATTTTAAAATTACTAGCCACTGCCACCTTAAATCTGACATAAGCATAACAACAGTCATTATGGGAATTAAAGCCCTCCTCCTGTGTGTCAAGGGCTCTTTATGCAACTTGTCTGTTTATGTGTATTCAGCTTCCAAAAGAAAAGAAAAAAAAACCCAATAGTTATCTAGTACTGGATCATTACTTAAAGCACAATTAGTTCATAAAATAATGTAATTACCACAATGCACTTGCACTACACCCCCTATGTTAATTACACATCCAAATACCACACAATTAGGTGGAAACCTCACCCAAGCACAGAGTTAACCTTAGCTGAAATAAAACCAGCATGTGAGAAACTTACCTGACCATTCACCAATGTACAGGAAATAACGCACTTTATAGTTTAGACTGTATATATTGAAATATAGCTAAATGTTGCTTCCTAAGAGGAAAAGAACAACATGTGAGGTAAGCGGTGTATAGGAGTTATTGTAGAGTAGCAGATCATGTGATAGTCACACTGGGGGAAAAGCAGGGCAAGCAAATCCTTTTTTTAAGAAGTATTTTTAAACAGCAGGAAATTCTGAATTCAAACCATCAGAAGCGACACTGGATGACCTTGAATTTACTAAACAGAGATTTCAGGAGAGTTTTGTTTCCTGTTCACTTTCACTATTGTGGGTTCTACTCTAATACCGCAGCGTGTGTCTCTTCGGCACAATTTAGCCCTCTATACCTATATAACAGTACTACAGAGTACTGTCGGCAGTATTATATTAAAACTGCACCCATTAAGACAATGACAGCTCGCAGTTTACAGGGCTGTCAAGTTCACCCACTGCTGCTCCGAGAACTCATCCACAGCGAGAGCCAGCTTCACGTGTTTTATGTGAGACAATTTGTCACCTTTATTTAGACCAGCGAGTTAGATTATCTGAGAAGTTCCTGAAAATCTCCCAACCATGTGCATCTTCATTATCCTATATTTAGCCGCCAGTAGCTTGTGTGACAAGGTCAATGAGAAGGCTCGACACTGGCCCGGTTACCGCCACGTTACAGGAACGGGTCGTTACGAGGACCTGGCGTTAGCTTACACCGGAACAATACTCCGCAATGCTGGCTGAACGTGACAACCGGCCTGCTTCATTATGGCGCCCTGCAAGCAGCAGCGTGTAGCTCGCGAGACAAAGTGACAGGTGACGTTCGCGAAGACACCGGCTACCTACGTGCACGTGCTCGGATACGGAGCTAGCAAATTTGCTCAAAGTTTGACACATCAGTAAACTGAATATGAGATATATAAACATTTTAATACATCGCACTCTGAGGAAAGCGAAAGATGGCCATGTGCCATCTGCATCGAGTCTTATTTATTTTAACTACAATAAGCTTTAACACTTCCCCAGCTCGACTTGAAATAGTGTAGCTAGGCCTTCTTTTTTTTTTTTTTTTACTGTTATCGTTTCTTTTCTTTCAAAGCTCACCTTCTCCCCAGCACAACCCAACCTGAGTGACCTTCTGCTGTGTAACACGCGGTTCCTTCTTCGGTCGGCGCTCTTCCACCCTCCAGCCAGGAATTACGCTGCACTCACCAACTACCCCGCTTATTATTGGCCGTGCAGGATCTACGCACGCGTGACGTCAACACAGCGGAAACGTCAAAGCGCCCATTTTTCTTTTTTGCAGCCTTTATTACCGTCAAATCGAACTATGAGCCAGTATAAAGCAAGGTATGGACATCAAAGAGGCAGTAGGTGTTGTGAAACAGAGAAGGAAAGGGGGCAATAAAGAACGACAGGACGGCAATAAGCTCGCTTTTTCCTTAATTTGTGACGAAATCTTCATCGTAAAGTATTGCTCTATTTCTTTCACAAAAAGTAGACGTTTTTTTCTGACAAATGTACATTTGTGCATGTGGTACTTGGAAGCGTCTTTGTCACAACAATCAATGCAGCCAAATTAAACATTTTTACTATAAAGCAACAAAATGACATAAAATAGTATCAACTATTAAAAAAGAAGGGGAAAAACAACAATATGTAAATGACAAGACCAAAATAGAGGGACAAGGAGATTATTCGCAGAACATGAAATTTGCTGTTCTGCTTCAATTTGCTTTTGTTTACACAAAAAGTATTTGGATAAAATCTATGGATCAGCTTAACTAAAATTTCAATGTGTGTTCATTGTTTTTATTAAGGTCAAAAATGCCACAAATGTGAGGATGGAATATACAGCATGTTTCTTCCTAAAAGAAAGGTAAAAGGAAAGAGAGGAGGATTTGCACTGCATGGCATATGAATAATGCCAGATTCTTTCTGCAAATACCAGCTGGTTCTGAAGGTATTCATCATGCAGTTGTGTTTATATATTTATAAGTATGAGGAGGCACTAACAAAGAATAACCTATTGTAGATGAGGGATTATGTGGTATAATAAAGCAACCAATCTTTAACTTAAACTAAAATGTTCCAAATCACACAAAACAGAAATGCATACAGATGGAAGAAGGCCTCTGTCAGTGATGGAGACTACTTATTTGATAAAATATTTCTAGAAGCTAATGAACATAACCAAGTATGTGTGTATGTGTGTTTGATAACTCACAATATTAAAGTTGTCAAAGAAGACTAATAATATTCTTCCAAGCTTCTCCATCTTTACTTGTATGTTTAAAGTGCAAATTATGGAAGATGCAAACTTTTACTGAAATCCAATCCTGAATTCTGCTGGATAAGCTTTTTTTATAATAGCTTCAGCTTTTTTTTTTTTTAAGAATCATAGTGTGCTGCGCTGTGGCCTTGTACCATATCTACCCTTCAAAATTATAGTTTATAAAGTCTAGAATGAATATTATAACCAGAAAACTAGAAATTACCATTTATATCTATGTAAGTAAATATACTTTTAAAATGTCCTAATAAAATATTATAACTGTACTTTTTTCCCTCTGATATTTTTAGTATTTTGGTTGTGTTTAAAACCACAGTCTACCTTGAATGACCTTTCCAGATAAATCGTGGCTTTTCTTCCATCAACTGAAACCTTGAAATGAGGAACAGCAGACATGATAGCGGTCAGGACTGTTTTTTTTGTGTTTTTTTTTATCTGTGTGTGTGTGTGTTTGGGGGGGGGGGGGGGGGGGTCATACACCCACAGTCCAAAAACAGTGTTGTCTTTGTGCTGCAGCTGTGAAAATGTCTAGAAGAAGACAAGACGTGAAGGTCCATTGACTGTGGTCAGTGTCTGAAGTTTTCCCATTTCTGCTTTTCATTCCCACACAGCACAGAAGTATAGACAATGCTTTATATTCAGAATTAATACAGAGCAGTATTCTACCACTAAGCCTAGGAGTGCAAAGTTTGGAAATTTCCACTGGAGCCAAAGTTGGTAAATAATTCAGTGCAAAGACTGATGCTGTCTGGCCTTTAGTAGCCAAAAAAGGAGACGACATTGATAATTTGGTTATTATACTACTCACTGTCATGTTCATTCAGACAGGGTTGACCAATCAATAACCTCTGGGATTGGGCATTGGGGTGGGCAGCAGCGAAGCAGTCGCCACTGATGGTAAATTATTAGTAAATCTTTGTAAACAGGTCTTTGTAAACTTTTTTTGATGGCTGGTTTTGCAATCTCGTTTATTTGCCATCACTTTTAATTATTGATTATTGAACCAAAACAAGCGCGATTGTGAAATTGTCCCTGTAATTGCTCTTTTGGGTTGACTTAAGTAATTGCATGTTTATGCCCAACATCAGGCTGCTTACATGTATTTTGCAGAAAGCAGTCATTGAGTGACGAGAGCGCCGGCTTTAATAATGTTCCCACACCATCATTTCCCCACATTTTTGTGTCACACCTGCTTTGGAAGTCCACTTGTTTGAGAACATTCAATGCTAGGACTCAGAAGCACACTACTGTGTATATATCTCTCTCTATACAAAACAGTGGACATGGGAAACAGTGCTTTCACGTTTAAGGATTTAGAGTTCTGAAAGTTCAAGAGCATTTATTACAGCAAGACGTCGTTGTAGTTCCATGTTGGTGTAAGCCAAGAATGTAAAGTTGTCGTAAGAATTGTTTTCAGGCCGGCCTTTGTTGTCTCTTTTAATCATTACTTGGCACACTGATCCAAAGTGAGGCATCAGGTAATAATGTGTGGTGTCTGTAACAATAGTCCAACTGTGCAAGAAGAGAGGAAGAAATGTTTTCTCAGAAAAAAAGACAAGACAAAAACAAGATGTCTGGAATTTAAAAAACGAAACATTTAATAAGGCACACGTGTTCAGTGTGCACACGGAGAGAGGCTGTAAGACTCAACCGCTTTTCTGAAATCATTAAGAAATACCTCATGCAACTCCTTCCTTCCTTTCTTTCAAATAAGACTCCTGAATAGGTTTAATAGAGAGATCTCAGCAACTAGGCGTTGGGCTGCCATGAAAATTTGTGCAGACACGACATTCCTCGGAGAACGAATCCTGTAGACTGTTGAATTTTACTGTAACTGCACAAGGCTGACATTTGTTTCTCTGAATAAAATACACTCCTGTTTTCATGCACACCTGTACAATCAAATGGAATCCAAATCCAACCTGAGAGATCAGTTCTGTGTTTCTTATGAAGCTCATAATACTCCGATTTTGATGAAGCCGTCAGGAATGTTTGGCTTTAATAATGTGGTCACAGATAAAAATGGTGCTGTGCTGGCCTGTTTGCAGCTCAGAAACACCTCTGAATATTATGTTACCCCATCATAAAAGTGCACTATGGTACAATAAATTTCTTTACCGCCATTTGTTCAGTAAACTAATTTGATATCTAGTGATATGGATCAATGCCCATGTTTGTTCACACATCATTGGCTCCAAGAAGATCTTAATGCATCTTATGATCCACTAACAGTTTCACCTGCAGAGGTTTGATTTCGTTTCAGAGTTTGAATGAATGAATGAAGAGTTTGTTTTTTGGTGCATCACCGTGGCAAAATCGAGGTTTTGCCTCATACATTATGTTTTTTTCCAAGGGCTGTTTGGGAAATGCTAGCATGCAGGTGATTCAGGTAAATGCTACAAGCCACTAATATTTAGGATGTGCAGGTAGCAGGGACTTTCCTCCTCTAACATGCATCACTGTGCACACATTAATACAGACTTAATAAATTAGCCAGTAAGCAGAACAGTGAATGAGAGAAGATAATATCCTTTCTAGGTGTATTTTTTCCAAACTGAAAAGCAGCACGGCTTTTTTTTTTTTTTTCAAACTTACACACTGCTGCTAATGAAACCTTCATCTCAGGAGCTTCTTGGAAGCTTTCAGGACGATATGGGAAAGAATCATCCTGAGTTTCCCATATCACCGTTAAATCCCCAGAAAATAACTGCTTTGTGTCCTCTTTGTGCTTGTTTCTGTCTTAAAGTGAATTATAAGATCAAGCTTTGCAGGATGTACAGTCAGCAGTATTGATCCTTGTCTTTGAGAAAAGCAAATGAGGGTGGTCCCACAGCAGCTACAGCCCGACTTACAGCTCTTTATTCAGAGACGCTTGTGTTGTTGGATATGACAGAGCAAACCTGTTAATGACAGCTTTGATGCCATGTACTGTACATATTCACTCAGAGAATAGAATCAGTTACACGAGTCCCCCCACAAAAACTAGGTGAAAGATACTTGTTTTTATTCTTTGAGTCCTCCAGTGACAGTTTGATTTTTATTACTTTATACCTTCAGATCGACAGGTGCCGAAACTGCCGGTGACTTCCAGACTTGTTGCTGTATTTGTAAGAGAGGAAGTGTAAGCAGAACCACTGAACACCTGCACTCTGTGCAAAGCAAAGTGAAGAAGGGGAAGAGGTCGTTTTGTGCCATGATTTATTTTGCTGATATGTTGTTTCAAGCATGAATGAACTTTACGAGTTCACAGTTAAAGATTGAAAACCTAGTGTAACATTTAGTCCAGGCACTGCAGACGTTCACCACTTAAGTAGTTCACCACATAAACTAGTCCAGCCATCTAGTTTATGGTTAGCTTGCAGTTCTGAGGGAATCAGCCCCAATGTAGGTGGTGGTGCATCTGTGTGACTGAGGCGGTGTTCCTGCAGAAACCTTGCTTCTGCAGCTGTTAACACACAGTCCAGCCCAACCATACAGTCACACCTCTGGCAAGGGTGAACTGAACCAACACAAACCAAAATATCCTCTGAAACCCCGACGGAAAAATCTGTTACAGTAAGAGCACAGATGAAACTAGCTATGGTCAACATGTGTGGCAACATGGTGCAGCATAATTTTCTAATGTTAATTAGTACAAGAACGTATCAAATGTTGAAACTGAAATTTAATGGCAGTAACACATAAAAAAAGCTGGTAGAGTCAGTTACCTACGAAATGTTGGAACATCTAATATCTGATGAGGTTAAATAGTTGCATGATCGGAAATAGAAAAGCTATATAATGTTGGCCATACACTCCTTTCTTATTTCATCAGGACAAAGAAGACAGAGTGTTGCTAAAAGGAGAAACTACATATCTTGATGATATGCGACATATCGCATTCTGCTCTAATTTACATTTTCACCAAACCACACACTAGAATGCAAAATCTGAGTCCGCCCGGCCGGTTTCATTATCATTTGTAGAAACAAAGCTCACACGCTCTTTCTCATCGATCCCGCCTTTTTAACTTTAATACTATCTCCGTGTGTCACCTTTGAAGGCCCAACAGTAAAGCATCATTTTCTAGGAAGAGATTATCCTTATCACTGCCTCCGCCCATGAGATGTGTGTGTGTGGGGGGGCAAACAGTCAGCACATGCATGAACATACTACAATCAGCCTTAAGCTGTGGCGAAATGCATTTGTGAACTGGATTCCATTTTGCCGCCACATGCTGACACTCTGTTGGAGCGGATTCAAGACTTAATATATCCTCGCACCTGTTCCAGGATGGAATGAAGGAAATCTACGTGCACCTCTGTTAGCGCAATTCCAGTAAGAACAGAAAAGGAAGCACAAGGGCTAACAATGGCAACAATACTGATCAAAATAACATGAATAGATTGAAAACTATTCACTTCGTTCTAAGCACGTTATAAGGAAGTGAAGCAAAAATATTCAACCCTATCCTAACCTTTTGTTCTGTTAAAGGCACCCATTGCTTCTGCTATAGAGAAAATATCGCAGATGATGCAATTCTCATCCTACATGAAGGCAGCTGGGGTCTCTGAAAAGGGTGAGGTGCTGCAGTTCAATGATATGCTATCTGCCCCGCAACAGGGCGAACTTATGCACACAGGGCAGGGGTCCAAAAACTCTTGACATCTCCAAGTTATGTAATGAAGCACATTGAGTTTGGGACACGCCGAACAGTCTACCTTTACTCATTTGTCCACACTCTGAGTCAAGTTGCCTCTATGCCTGCACTTGCACATGTCACGTCATGTTTTAACAGGTGGTTTGGTTAATTCCTGTAATGATGATTCAGTTTCTAACTGTCCACCTGGAAATACAAGCTCAGCGTTTCCTGCTGGAAACAGGACAACAGTGACCACAAATAGTTGGTAAAAAGAACACCACCATGATGGAGGTAAAAAAATATTTATTGGACAAACATGTAAGCCTCACAGACTTTCTCAGAAGCAAAGGTGCTAATAACATCAGACAATAAACCCTAGTTACACAAACACACATATTAATCCACGCACACAAACACTCACTTCATACTACCAAATGTCCACATGAACATCTGCCAGTGGTTTGAGGGATTTTTCTCTCAGTGGCTGGGTCGGAAGGGGAACGGCATCCCTGTCATAAAGGGCTGAGCTGGGTACTGAGGGTGAGAGGAAGGGTGTGGGGCAAGTGGCGCATGCGGGGTGTGTGCGCGGTGTGTGGGGAGTGCAGGGAGCGGGGCGATGGGTGAATGAGCGGCGTGCGGACTATAGGCCAGCGGAGATGTGTGGATGTTGTTGTAGTACATCACCGGGCCAAACAGCACCAACTGGAGCAGACTGGAAACACAAATACACAAAAAGATGAGACTAAGATGAGAAGCCAAAAGAAAACCAAAATCACAGGAATTAAATCTGTAATCAAATTGACCCTCGGACGGTTTAAGTCAAAAAAGGAACTTAAACCGTCCGAGGGTTAAAGGCACAGATACTGCATTGTTTAAATAGAATGGCTTTAGCGGTAAAATTTCTTCCACTGGGGAAGTTTGTTCGATTTCACTTCAACACCTAAACTTCAGTCCTTAACCAGCTTCCTATATAGTCTAGGGTGCTGGTTATAACATGGTACATTTATGTCATTTTGTTAAAAACAAACAAACCCTGAAGCTGAAGCACAGTGTAGGCGACAACACTGTGGAAATATCACATTGTGAAGGGAAATGATGTACTAAACAACAAATTCTTGGATCTTACTTGTTGTGGGGGAGTCGGGAACAGATGGCCCTCAGGTCCTCTGTGAAGACAACATTATGTTTGAAAAGACAGTGTGCTAAGACAAAGTACAGCTGGTTACCTAGCTACTAAATTCTTTTCTAAAAGCTCCTTCATATATAACATTTGTTAAAGTTCCTTCAAAGTGACATTTTAAAAATCAGTTTGCCTTTAACTACTAATGCACTCAATCTTTTTAGGTCTTTAACTTAAAAGATAAGAGAAAAAATAAAGCAGTAATTGCAACACGTGGGACAAGTTTATGTACCCATCTACTAGGAAGGAGAAAGATTTCACAGGACTCTACTCAGTAGTGAAAAACTAAGTACAAGACGTGATCCAACAGCTTTTGGAGACACATTCAGCAGCAATAACTCAAAGTAATAATTTTCTGTATGACTTCAACAGTTTCTCACATTGTTGTGGAGGAACTTTGGCTCATTCTTCACTCAGACTGACATTTGGACTCTGACTGAGATGTTGTAACAGTCTAATTTTTTTTGTTTTTCAGTCACTCTGTTGTAGATTTGCTGCTTTATTTGGGATCATTATCACATGACATGATGACATGACCCAGTTTGGACCAAGCTTTAGCTGTCAGACAGGTGGCCACATATTTGACTCTAGAATACTTGCTTAGAATAATATACAGATGAGTTCATGGCAGACTTAACTGTAACTACAGCTGTGTTTTTTTGTTGTCATTTTGTTTCTTTTAGAAAATGAACTTAGAAGCCATACATGGAGCTGGATTTGAATAGCTGAATATTACATTAATTTCCAGTCTCAGGCACAACAATGTACAGGCACTCACGACACCATTTTTCCACACTGTTACCTCTTGAGCAGAGCAGGGCTCCGCTGGCCATGGCCACCTGCAGGGCTTGGGCCAGCCGGTCGAGGGCCAGCTGGGACAGTGCAAGTGTATCAGCGGAGGACGTGTGCGTGTGTTTGTCAGCCTGGTCCAAAAGTCGGGAAAGATCGGACGTCAGAGCAGCCAAGGACTCCATCTGAAGCAGTGCCAGGCGACCAAAAAGCCCCTTCTCGTTGAGTATGTTGGGCAAAAGCATTAAGACCTAAATAAGGAAGAAGGAGGAGATGGCTAATGACCTTCTCTGTGGACGTTACAAGGGTTTACGTGTACAATGTGTCTTTTACTGAATGGATCTGAACACAAACACAAACCTGTAGGACACTTAAATGGAGTGCAGAGAAGAGAGGCCCTACTTCTGGCTCATTCTCAGAGCTTCCATTGGTCAGCGCCTGCTTCTTGTCTCTGCTATAGACCAGCGGTGCTTTTATGCACCAGCGCACCAAACCCCCTAACGGTGTGACATCGAGCGAGGTGATCGGTTGGCTGCCGGAAATGGGCGAGTTCAGGAAGGTGATCAGGACTAGATGAGGGTCATCTTGAATCCACGATACTATCATCTGGAGGAGTTCGAGTGGGGGGGTGAGCTCCTCTGAAAACACACACAAAAATGTTAAATATCAGATGTTCCTCCAACGAACACAGGCGTGTCAGTCTTTTTTCAAACAGTTTCCATGTTTTTACATGCATTTTTTTTTTACCTGAAGTGAAGTCATAGAGAGTGGTGACAGCAGTGATGAACTGGCAGCAGAAGCGTGGGCTTGCACTGTGGATATTCTGCAGGGTGGGCACAGAGCCTGGGACCATACTGCAGTAATCATCTACCAGCACCTGCGCCAAGCGTACGCAGTACACACGATGGGTTCTCTGCACAGCACAAACATAATCAGAAGCCTACGATTAGTACATCCAAAGTACAGGGACACATACATGCAGTCTTTTCTTGACACATCAGGTCCAGACAGTGTCAGGAGAAAAACATAGACCTTAAAGCATCAAAGTTCCAACTGTGATAAGGGCTGGTGAAACTGGTCAAATTACACATGGCACCATCACTGAAGCAATACATCGTCCAGATGCAACGATGTCTGCTGTCACGTATCAAAGTCTAGTGTAAGAACAGTTGTTGTGGTTGTGTTTTTTTGTCATTTCTCCCTGACCTCATGATTTCACTACTAACAACACAGGGCTGTGTGATTGAGTCCTCACCTGCAACCAGGTAGCAGCACATTCCAGGATAGGAACCCTGCCCACAGCGATAGCCATGGAGACCAATTTGCCCAGCAGTGCCATGCGGCTTTCATCTGCCTGGTTGCCTTGGAGATTAAAAAGGGCAGCAAACATAAGTTGACGGACAGCATCACGACTCTGCTCCTGAAAACAGCTGCACATGATCTCCAACAGCTGGAGCTCCTGAAGAGCACTCATTCTCTGAAATAAAGAACAAAACAAAAAAACACACTTGAGTTATTGACTGATTTCTTTTGTGTGTTTACATATTATACATTGGTGCTTAAGCATTCTGGGGTCCCAGTTTACCCTGGCTGTGGTGTTTCTATCTTTGGGTGCATGTAGAATGAACTCCTCAACCAGCTCCAGGGTTTTTGAGTCAACCTGAGGAGGCTGCCTCCCAGACTGCACCAGGTTACAGATGTAAATGTCCAGGTGGTACAGCAGCTCCTTGGCTGCACTCAGCACATCCCGAGGCAGCAATGACTGACGGATGTCACCCATCTGTAACCTGACAGAGGCACATAAACAATGTGAAAGACGTTAAATATGATGATCAGAAGTGAAGTGTATTAATGAAAAGTCCATGGTAACAAGGCTGTATCTCTTCCATCTGTGAAAGTATTAAACAGTTTTAATTCATGAAGTAACAGTGGTTCTGAAGGCTTTAAACAACACTGCATGGTGGGCTGTTAAGATGTTGCAGACTTTTTTTAAAAAATCTTGACACACTGTGACATGTGCCACAGAAAGAAAACAACACAACAAACAAAGCACATTAGATGTAACAAAAACATTAGCTTGTTTTATCATCCAAAATGACGGAACAGTGGACAGTGATTTTCTTTAAACTCTGGTTTCAAGTTAAATTATGCCTATGACTTTTGCCGTGTCTATAGTGTCAATACTTTTGGAGTGGACCAGCTCCACACTGAGTCTCCTCAATGGTCTGCTCCATCCTGCTACAGCTAGTGTTAGCTGGCAGCTAACACTAGCTGTTTCCTTCGCTACAGAGCTTACGCGTTACAGTTAACCCGGCAGTATTCAAAAAGCAGGAGTTAAGCACTTACCTCAGCAAAAGCTCTTATTTCCTTTCAAAAAATTAGCTGAAAACAGGACCACGAAAGGTCTTAAAAGACGACGGAACTGCTTCCTGCTTCTACGGAAGCCTGTGTGGCACAAAAATGACAGCCATTGACGTTCAATCATTGTCTTTAATCATGTGTATGTAAACTGGCAACGCATTAAATTAAATTAAATTAAATTAAATTAAATTAAATTAAATTAAATTAAATTAAATTAAATTAAATTAAATTATTTTTGTTTAAATTATTTTACCAATCAAAAACCAAAAATATTTCACTCTCATAATTTTATCTTTAATTCCACATAATGACACATCATACATTGGGATAGGGCATTGTTTGATTGACTGATCTATTTTATTAGAATACACACACACACATCTCTCTCTCTCTCTCTCTCTCTCTATATATATATATATATATACATATATATCAGAATCAGAATCAGAATCAGAATACTTTATTGATCCCTGGGGGAAATTATTTTTTGTTACAGTGCTCCATTTTAAACCAACATTAAGACAAGACAGACAATACGCTAACTAAGAATAGTACAATATATACATATATATACATACATACATACATACATAAATAAGTCACTTATAAATAAATAGTTGGAAAAGAAACATGTGTAGCTGTTGCAGTAAACAGTGTGTTAAGTGGATGCGTTGTACAGGGAGATGGCCACAGGCAGGAATGATTTCCTGTGTCGTTCAGTGGTGCTTTTCGGTAATCTCAGTCTCTCACTGAACGAGCTCCTGTGACTGACCAACATGTCATGGAGTGGGTGGGAGGTGTTATCCAACATTGTCTTTATCTTGGACAGCATCCGCCTCTCCGACACCACCTTGAGGGAGTCCAGCTCCATCCCCACAACATTGCTGGCCTTACGGATCAGTTTATTAAGTCTGTTGGCATCTGCGACCCTCAGCCTGCTCCCCCAGCATGCAACAGCATAGAGGATCGCACTGGCCACAACAGACTCATAGAAAATCCTCAGCATTTTCTGGCAGATGTTGAAGGACCTCAGCTGCCTCAAAAAATAGAGACGACTCTGGCCCTTCCTGTAAAGTGCTGTGGTGTTTTTAGCCCAGTCCAGTTTATTGTCAATGTGTACTCCAAGGTATTTATAGTCCTCCACAATGTCAACACTGACCCCCTGGATTGAAACAGGGGTCAAGTGTTTCCTGGTCTTCCTGAAGTCCACGATCAGTTCCTTGGTCTTTGCCACGTTGAGCTGCAGATGATTCTGCTCACACCACGTGACAAAGGAGTCGACCACAGCCCGGTACTCTGTCTCATCATCCCTGCTGATGCATCCAACCACCGCAGAGTCATCAGAAAACTTCTGAAGATGGCAGGTCTCTGTGCAGTGGCTGAAGTCTGTGGTGTAGAGGGTGAAGAGGAAGGGGGAGAGGACAGTCCCCTGTGGCGCCCCTGTGTTGCTAATCACCTTGTCAGACACACACTGTGGGAGACGTACATATTGTGGTCTTCCTGTCAGGTAATCAACAATCCAGGACACCAGAGAAGCATCCACCTGCATCGCTGCTAACTTATCACCCAGGAGGGTCGGCCTGATGGTGTTGAAAGCACTGGAAAAGTCAAAAAACATGACCCTCACAGTGCTCGCCGGCTGGTCCAGATGGGTGTAGACACGATTGAGCAGGTAGATGATGGCGTCCTCTGTTCCGAGACGAGGCTGATAAGCGAACTGAAGGGGATCCAGATGTGGTCTTACTATGGGTCGCAGCTGGTCCAGGATGAGCCTTTCCAGGGTCTTCATGATGTGGGAGGTCAGTGCCACGGGCCTGTAATCCTGGGGGCCACTGGGACGAGGCGTCTTTGGTACAGGGACGAGGCATGATGTCTTCCACATCACCGGGACCCTCTGCAGACTCAGACTCAGCATAAACAGTTTATGAAAGACTCCACACAGCTGGGGGGCACAGGCCTTGAGGACAAGGGGACTCACTCCGTCTGGTCCAGCAGACTTGCCTGAGTGAAGTCTCCTCATTTGCATCTCAACCTGGTATTGAGTGAAGGTGATGGGTGGGGGAGGGGTGTCAGGAATCTCACAGGAGGCAACATGTGAAGAGGGAGGCTGGCACAGTGGTGTGGCTCTGGATTCCAGGCTGACTGCAGGTGAGGTTGTGGGGGTGGGAGCAGACACTGTGGTGTCGAATCTATTGAAAAACAGATTCAACTCGTCGGCTCTATTCTCACCTCCCTCAGCTCCCCTGCTGTTGGTTGGCCTGAATCCAGTGATGGTCTTCATGCCCCTCCACACCTCTCTCATGCTGTTCTGCTGGAGTTTCCACTCCAGCTTCCTCCTGTAATTGTCCTTAGCCTCTCTGATCTTGTCCTTTAGTAACACCTGGACCTTCCTCACCTCCTCTTTGTTGCCCCCTCTGAAAGCCCTCTTCTTGTTGTTGAGGAGGGCTTTGATGTCCTTAGTCACCCACGGCTTGTTATTTGGGTAACAATGAACAGTCTGAGCTGGAACAATGGAGTCGGTGCAGAAAGTTATGTAGTCTGTGATACACTCAGTAAGCCCATTGATGTCCTCGGCGTGAGGCTCACAGAGTGTTTCCCAGTCGGTCACCTCGAAACAGCCCTGTAGTTCCGCTATTGCCTCCTCTGACCACCTCCTAACAGTCCTGGTGGTCACAGGTTCCCTCCTCACAATTGGCACATAGCGGGGGGGTGAGGTGAATCAGGTTATGATCTGACCTACCAAGTGGGGGGAGGGAGGAGGAGCTGTATGCATCCTTGACGTTAGCATACAGTAAGTCTAAAGTTTTCTCTCCCCTGGTGGGACAGTCCACATATTGTTTGAATGTTGGTAGTGTATTGTCCAGTGATACATGGTTGAAGTCACCCGAGATCACAATAAAGGCACTCGGGTGCTGAGTCTGTAGCCGAGCTATGGCAGAGTGGATAGTGTCACATGCAGCTGTGGGGTTAGCAGAGGGGGGAACATAGACAGCCACCAAGATGACGTGAGAGAATTCCCTGGGTATATATATATATATATATATATATATATATATATATATATATATATATATAGGAGCACTAGGTGCGGTGACTCCCAAGCTAGGCGAGTGGCTCCAGCAGATCCCGGGAATAACATCGGAGATCTCTGTCCAGAAGAGCGCAGTCCTGGGAACAGCTAAGATACTGCGCAGGAGCCTAAACAAACAAACAAACAACCATATGACCAAATCACATCTACGGATATAGTAAAGAGAGGGAACAAAATCCGTAACAATATGTAGCTACTTTGTTATAAATATAATGATGGTTAAGGATATATAATACATCCTCATTAAAACATTTAACCATTTTAATCTACATAAATGATTAAGCACCAGTGTTTGCTGTCATAGATATTTTAAGATACAAAATACCAGTTCATTTCGAAATGACTGTAATTGCTGATATGCTAATATGTGTAAGCGGAGAAAGCATCTTTAAGAATTTTTGTTACGAAAATTTGTTTAACTGCAAATGTATTTCTTAGCTCATACAGTCAGGGCCAGTTTATTGTTTTTAATGGCATAAAATGAAAAAATACCAAGGCTGCTTGCTTAGTCATCTATTTATTGACTAATGTAATCCGTTCAACACATTTCAGCAACCTGACATGTTTTATTCAACCTTTTAGCTATTTAGCTCACAGAACATACTAATATGCAGTGTCTTTATCTTTATTACCCTTATCAGGTCAGTACACAAGCCAAACGCTCTCTGCAAATATAAAACTATTTAAAAAAAAAGGTCAATATTCAAATAACAGCGAAAGAACTTGATATGGTACGCTTTGGTAAGGCCTACATTTCGTATACAGCTATATTTTTTCATTTTCAGTTCGTCATGTAGCCTATCTGTAAAAAGAAACAGAGAAAAGCTAGTTGCCTCTTTTGTGCCGAAACTCTTGAGTAAAAATTTATTTGACCTGTAATCCTCTCTAATCTACACAGCCGCGCGCGCGCCCGGCAGGCACGGGACAGCCTGATGTTTCCATCTCTCTCCCTCTCTCTCTTTTCTCGCTCTCTCTCTCTTCTCTCTCTCTCTCTCGCTCTCCCGGTAGCGCTTTGCTTTTGCACTTTGCCGTCCCGTCGAGTGATCCCAAGCATCCCGCAAGATGACCATCAACACCCTGGCTAAAGGAGGGTGTCATCGGGAGCAAATGGCATGCTTTCGAAAGGTAAGACTGCTTGATCACGTTCTCTTTGGTTGTATTTATTTATTGTCACAGAATATCCTGGAAATCCAGCGCTGAACAAATCCAACACACTTCATTAGATTAAAGAAGAAAAACAAATTAAGGTAAAATTATCATTATTGTTGTTGTTGTTGTTGTTGTTGTTATTATTCGTGTAGTGGTCCAATTCTTGTTGCCCAGCTGCATGTTTACATATGTGTGTGTGTGTGTGTGTGTGTGTGTGTGTGTGTGTGTGTGTGTCTCCCTTGCAGATGGAGAAAGTGATAGTGGCCATGCAGGACCCTGACATGGGCATGAAGATGAGAAACCAGAGGCTTCTTATAACTGTCATTCCACACGCCATGACAGGTGTGTGTGTGTGTGTGTGTGTGTGTGTGTGTGTGTGTGTGTGAGTATGCTCCTTGTGTCAGTATGCATTAGAATCAGTGCGCTTGGGTGGACAGGTACATTGCAGCTTGACTTTGTCCCAGCAGTCATTGGTCATACATAATTCAGCATTCATTTTTTTGAGAATCCCGTGTGCTTTGCCAAGATTGGAGAGGAACTTCTTTCCTCACTTCCCCTCTTGTTTCTTTCCATTCTTTTACAGGCCATGATATAATTGCCTGGTTGACACACAAATACAGAATCAGCGAGGAGGGTAGGTGTACAGATGCATACAATGTGCGCTTGATTGTTGACTGTTACGTATCTGCTGTTTTTCTCCTGTCTCTGTGTGAGCGGCATGTTGTGTGTCGTTGGTGTGTTGCCAGGATATGGTGCCTGACGCGGTAGGTAGTTATTTGTGTGTGCATCGTAGGGAAGGATGTTTCCAGTAAACAGGAATGGGGTTAGCCCCTGTGGGACTGGGTCTGATTAA